TTTATACAAATCGAATCGCCCAAACATAATATTTAACATTAATATGCATATTAGCAAAAAAAAACATACTTATTTTCTTAATTTCACACCATATGTATTTTTTTTCTTTTATAATCAACAAAATAAATAAATAAAGTATGTTGTTTTAAATAACGAATAACAAAGCTTTAAACAATCAAAAACAAAAGGTGATAAAACCGATTGCATGAAAACACACGGAGAGAGAGAGAGAAAAAAACAAACGAATAAAACTATTAGCAAGAACATAATGTTTATTTTACTGTCGTTCTTACGATAACTTCATCTAAACATAAATGAACATCACTTTCAATAAAATTATCAATTAATGAATATGAACGTCCATTCATTGGTACAATACGCGATGATTCAAGAAACAAATCACGATCTTGATATGCTTCTTGTATATCATGTTGTGTTAGTTCTCTAAATATCTTAAAAAAAATAAATTCAATGATTTTGATATTTTTCTCAATCATTATTTCTTACCATTGACTATCAGTTAACGACGATTCAGGTTCAACTTTAGATTTCCATTTTGTTGAATGTCGAGCATGATTTTCAATAAGATTATCATGTAAATCTTTCATTTGAATTTCCAATAGTCCTAGACAATCCCGAATTGGACCAAGTGAACTATAAATAGCAAATAATTATTATAATGTTATGTATAAATAAAAAATGTTCCTTACTTTGTAACTCTTTCTTCTGCTTCAGTATCTGTAATTAATTGTTGTAATTCATCAAGATCAATAATTGATTTCTAGTAAATGTAAAAATGAATCGAGTTTTTTTTCAAAATATAATTTCTTACTTCTTTAGATAAATGTTGATTATCAATTAATGGTTTAATAATTTTACAAAAATTTCCAAGTCGTATTTCTAATTCTTTACGTTTCTCTTGATTTCGTTGATCCAATTGTTCAAAACGTTGAACATTATCAAGTGAAAACTATAAAAATACGATAAAAAAAATAAGAATTAATTAGAATATGTTTTGTTTGTATTGAAAAAACGTGCATATGTGCAATAAGAATAAACAAGTATGGAATTGATTTTTTGTTTACTTTACTAAAATCAATCATGATAAGAATAGCATACAAGAAAGAAACAAATATATCACCGAATTAAATCAACTATTTAAAATCAAAAGAATAAAAAAAACAAACATCGATATATATATAATAGTGAATCTGTCTATTTTGTTCAGTCAATATAAAAACAAGCAATATATACGTGCAATAACATTCATACGCATCCCATAGTAAAGCAAGAAATCGATTGTATGTTAGTAGAATGAAGAAGAAGAAGTAGTAGTAGTAGTAGAAGCGTGATCATTGCAACTGTCGACGGGAACATACCTGATTGGCTTTAATTGCTTCTTCTAATTCAAGTTGATGTGCTTTTGTTGTATAATCTAATTTTTCTTTTAATGCATTTAATTCACGTTCTTTCAATTCAAGTAATTCACGTATATTCTATAAAAGAAGAAAATCTTAGTTAATTTATTTTTCTTGACTAAAAATAATTCATACATTATTTGAACTGCTTTGAGTATTATTTTGTTCACGTTGCAAATCAATTAATTCACGTTCAAGTTGTTGAATTTTAACTTGATCACATTGAAGATCTACTTTAAGACGATCGACTTCCAAACGATATTGAGTTTCACTTATACGTAATCTTAACAAGAAATAAATAAATTATCAATTTTCTTTTATACCATTTCAACTATATTTTCTCTTACCTATCTGTTTCAATTTTTAACAATGATAATTCTTGATTTTTAACATTAACATCATGTTGAACATGTTTAAATTGTATTGTATATGTTTCAAGTTGTTTTTTTAATCGTTGATTTTGTATACGAATACTTTTAAGCTAAATATAAAAAGATATACTTTTCTAATATAATTTTCAAATAAAAAAGGATCAATAGTTTACTTGTCGTTCAGTATCAATTAATTTTTGTTTAAGATATGAATCATTATTATTGTCTGTAGTTAACAATGATTGTTCATTATGATCTGATGTTCTTTCAGCAACTTCATATGTCAAACATTTTAATGTTAAATAACAAATATCAGTATCAGAAGATGTTGAATTATCTACTGATGAATATGATAAAAGTGAAAGATGTTGATTTTCTTGTTTAAGTCGTTCATTTTCAAGTGTATAATCATGTGTAATACGTTCAAATTTTAAAATAATATCTTTAAGTTTTTTATTTTCAACTTGAATTTGTTTAACAAATTGTTTTAATTGTTCACTTTCTTTTGACCAAGATCATTCTATTAGTCATTGATTGATTTATTATCGTCGAGTTATATTAGAAAAAAATGCATCATTGTTTTTATTGACGAGATCCATCATATTATGTATAGAATCATACATGTGTATATATAAATAACGACAATTTCAATTCAAGAATAGATAATGATGAATTCTCCACTTATTCAACTGAACGACTTACCCAGTGAAATTCTTTTGATTATCTTAAAATATTTGTCAAATGTTGACGTACTTTACTCTTTAATGAATGTTAATACGAGATTAGATAAAATAGTACATAACCACAGTTTTGCAGATTATTTAAGTTTTTTTCGAATAGTACCAAGTCATTTAATTGAAATGATATCCACATCAAAGTATTGTATTTTACCATTACTTGATCCAATACTTGATCGATTTTGTTCGGAAATTTTACCTAAAATTCATGATACAATCAAATTTCTTAATGTAGAATCATTTTCAATGGAGCGTGTTTTTCTTGCTACCACGTATCCTAATTTATTTGGCCTTGGTTTATATGGGATTGAAGGAAAACGAATTATTGATCTGTTTTCAGGTAAGATCTATGTCTCATGGACTGATTTTCATAAGCATATAATATCATATTTTTAATGTTTATATTAACATTTATTGCTCATTTCAAATAAGAATAAACTTAAATTATGATAAAGTATAATTTATTGTAGAATTTAAATGAGCCAATTTTGATATATGGAAATGACATTTAGATTTAAAAAAGCTGTTAACGTTATCCCTGGGAGATTAAAGGGTGTAACACGATCTCGTTGATATTGTTGGTGGAAGAGAGATAAGTTAATTCTATTTGTATGCAGTCTAACCTTTTTGATCCAAAAATCCAAATCTATTAGTAACATAATGTTTTTAGGTTTGTCTCTACGCGTAAAACTATCGCTATTAGCACGAAATAAGCCTAATAAAGTCAACTTATGCACTGTCTCTAAATGTCTATTGCTAGGGCTTTTGCCACGGTCTACGAAGGGGAAGAAAGTGCAGATTTCTACTTCTATATACTTCAAAGCATCTTTTCGATTCTATTTTAAAAAAAGAAATATTTAATTCGACTTAAAGTATACTATGAGTTTTAATAATGTATTTTGTAATCTTTTCATTATTTAGACTCAAGTCTCTTCACTACTTATTCTTTGAAAAATCAAATTTCATCACTTGTTATCACTATGAATATTAATACGAACGAAGCGTTAGCGGATGATATATATGCTCTTTTATTGACGCATATCTTTACTATATTCCAGAATTTACGACTGTTATTTGTTAATCCATCTCCAGTTTCATATCTATGTTTATCCATCAATAATTTCCCTTCAACTTTCAATTCTTCAACGCTGGTAGAATTACATGTTGGTTTGAGCAATTTTAATGATTGTCTTCTAATGCTTGATGGACGTTTCAATCAGCTTTCTATATTTCATGTTAATATTGATATAATTCGTGGCTCAAGTTTGGTAATCAATAATAAGGTAGATTTATTTATTAATATTTCCTTGATCAAAATAAAATGATTTTTCTTTTCATTTTTAGGAAAAATTACCTAATTTAAGCTCGTTTGTACTTTATACTGCTCATTATACAAATAGTTATGATAAATTAATTGTACCACTTTTACATCGAATGACAAATTTAGAAAGACTTCATTTATCTTTTGTTGGTTATGTAACAAAATCGTTTATTGATGGTAATAATTTAAAGCAAAATATCATCTATCATATGCCACTATTAAAGAAATTCATATTTAATATTCGTTCAGTTTGGTTTGATAGTCCCATGAATATACCATCAACTGAAGATATTCAACAAACCTTCAAAGATTTAAAAGATATGCATATCATATCTTGTGTTGATTACTTCCAAAAAGAAAAATATAGTCAGTGTCTTGTTTATTCATATCCATATGAATTAAAACATTATCGTGAAATTACAAATCAGTTTCCTGGTGGTTTATTTAGATGTGTGCGCGAAGTCTCATTACATGATGAATATCCATTCGAGCATGAATTTTTTCTTCGCGTTGCTCGATCATTTCCATTATTAGAAGAATTAACTTTAATTAATAAAAAAAAGCAAATCAATAGATGCATTCAAAATCAAAATAAACATTTACCAATTATTAAGTATTCTCATCTAATACAACTTGATCTTTCTGAAGCTGATCAAGATTATTATGAACAATTTTTATTCGATACTAAAACATGTTTACCAAATAATCTTCGTGTTCGAATGAATTATCAATCAGTGAAAAAAGTGACACGCAATTTTCGAAGAAATACAACGCGTTATAATTGTATCAAAATAATACACGCTCGTTTTTACAACAAATTTAATTTTCCTGAACATTTGAAAGACTACTTTCCTAATGCATATATATGTTGATTATTATAATTATTATTTAAATAAATAGAGAAGTCATCAGTTAAATCAGATTGATTAATATAGAATGTAGATATTCATTTAAAGAGATAGAAGTTGTACAGTTTAATAGTTGGAAATAAATATTACGCAGTATTGAGAAAAATCATGTATCAAGGTGCAAATTTTGTATCAACATTATACTATCATCGTAACGACTCATTTTAGTACTTCCATAGAAAATTGAAATTGATAATATAAATTTTTTTAGCTAATGATTAGATTAGTTGTTCAGAAATTTTACCACTATTTGAAAAGGAAATTAATTCCTAGTTCTGCTCAAAAAGCAAAAGGTTTCAGTACTAAAGCAGATGTCTGGAAATGAGGGTGTGGGTGTGTGGATGTGGATCTTAAAGACTAAAAATAAAAAAGTAGAACAAATATGAAATCTTGGCGGTGCGCTCAATTAACATTCACCTGAAAGACTTTACTAATTTTCAAATATATTTTTCTGTGCAAAAGATAATCTGTCAAATAAGATAAATCATTAGAAAATTGTATCAATTATTATATTCTCATTTAGATATCATCTTTTATAATATTTACAGAAGTGTAGTTTCTCTGTTTATTCTCCTCAACAATGGTGAATAAAAGTCAATCAGTTTGTGTATGTATTGAATATCATCCTTGTTTTTTTCTTCAACGATATTTCATCAGTATGATACAAATAACAATCGACATCACTAGCAATAAAAATAATACGTACGACCAGTAGAAAGAAGAATAAATGTTCATTTATAGATTAATTAGTCTACAATACATTGACATAATATTTCTGCCGTCGAGGGCAGACATTCATATTATTGCATGACATCGACGACACAAATAAATGTATATATATACATCATAAGAGAAGAATTGGTCGAAATGAAAATGAATCAATGCAACGTTAATCTTCTTGATCTTCCTACTGAAATATTACTTATTATTTTAAAAAAACTCGATAATATAGATGTTCTTTATTCATTATTTGACGTTAATAATCAACGTCTTAACAACATAATACAAAAAAATACTTTCTCTAATGCTCTCAATTTTGTATTACTAACATTAACTGATGATATTCTATCGATTTCTGATCGAATGCTTGATAGATTCTGCATTTCAATATTGCCAAAAATTCATTATAATGTTAAATCTCTTATTCTTAATTCATTATCTATGGAACGTATTCTTCTTGCTGCTGATTATCCTAATTTAAATGAACTTAAACTCTTCAAATTTAATGGTAATATTGCTTCACGTTATTTTACAGGTAAATAACTTCTATTCGCATCTAAATAAGGATTTGTATAGATAAAGTAAATAACTATTTTTTATTTAGTTAAATCACCATTTCGTCGTATTTTTCAACAACAAATTACAGACCTTATTCTTGTATTTGAAAATGATTATCATGAAAAATTATGTGAATATTATACAACAGATGTTTATGGATTTATTTTCGAATTCTTCGAAAACTTAAAACATTTATCTATTATTGAATTATCTCCTAACTCTTTTCCACCTCTATTACTTCATAATTTACCCTCAACTACTTGCTACTCTTCAGTGCTTTACAAACTATGTATTACTGTAATGTATTATGATGATTTACTTGCTTTACTTGATGGTCGTATCAAACAATTAAATACATTGAATGTCACTATTGCTGAACAGGATTGTTATTTAAGTAATATTTACAATATGGTAAGTTTAGATTTATCTTTTTCATTTAAAAAAGAATACTTATGATCACGACAGTTTCAAAATTTTGTAAATTAATTATCTTTTAATTGGATCAACTATGAGGAAATAGATATAAAACAAATATTTGTCTAGTTCGAAGAAATAAATCAAATCATCGAGTTTCTTTGAAATGAACAATATTAATATGTTTGAAGAGTAAGACTGACAATATTTATCTTCATTTAGTTGAAATATGTGTCTAGGTAGTTTGTTGACGAACTGATAGAAGAGAGAACCTACTTCAATCTAAGTTTCCCTTGAACATCTAGAAAAATTCTGAGCATTTTTCTTTTTAGTCATTCAAGTTATTTTATAACAGGATACGACGAGTATTAAAATAAGAAAAAGGATTAAAGAGAAGAAACAACACGTGAATAATAAGTAATAAATGACACAGATTATTAAATATAGAGAAGTTCGATCCAAGTAACTTTTGATTTGTTGTGAACTGATGAATTGCTGAGCAGATTTTGATTTGTCTAATAGAAACTCACGTTTATGAGATGATATAACTTTTTTTTGTATATAAATAATATTTTTCTCACTTATTTAATTAGGACGAACATTATTAATTACAAATTTCCGAGTAGTTTAAGTATTTCTTATTTCTTATCTTCTAGGTGTTTAGAACTGCAAGATATATTAGTTATTCTTGTTGAAGATTTAAATATTATAGAACTGAAGAAATATGTGAAAATGAATAAAATACTAATAGAGCCACTTTTTAATTAATCGTTCAGTGACATCTTTTTTAATTGTAACCTATAATAATATATTTACAAATATTGTTTTGTATTTTCTAGAATAATTTACCTGATATGAAATATTTTTATTTACAATGTAATTGCTCCAATGATATATATTATGATGAAATTTTACCTCTTTTACATCGTATGTCAAATATTGAAGCATTAAATTTACATCTTACTATTGATAATCAAACAACATTTATCGATGGTAATCACATTTATAATGAAATTATTGTTCATATGTCACAACTTCGTACATTTAATTATTATTTTTTTACTTTTATTCGATTGAATCAATCAGTTAATCATTTATCTAAAGATGATATTCTACAAACTTTTCCTAATATTATATATGAACAAGTGAACTGTATGATCAATTATGGATATAATGATATTAGATATCATGTATTTTCATTACCATTCATGTTTGATTATCTTGGCTTTATTGATAATGTATTTCCAAGTATTATATTCAACCATGTTATAAGATTAATAGTGGATGATAACATTCCATTTGAACATGAATTTTTCATGAGAATTGCTTGGTCTTTTCCTTTACTTAAAATGTTATGTATTTATAATCATTTGTCACAATTAACAATATCAAACAAATTAAGCTCTAATGATAATGAATTACGTTCAACAATTATTGAATTTCCTTATCTTATTTCGCTTGATCTTGAATTTACTCATGATGATTATATTGAACAATTTCTTAATGATAAAAAAACATACTTACCTCATCTAACCAAATTAGACATTACTTACTATGGTTTAAAAAATGTTACAGAAAATTTTACAAACGAAAGAACACGACTCAATTGTATGAATGTGAAACAATTAAATATAACTCCGAAAATAAGTATACATTCAGAAGATTTCTATGCTTATTTTCCTTCATTGTAATTCTACTTTCTTTTTTTTGTTTAATTTAATAAAATAAATAATGAAAACATTAACTGTATTTTTGTAATCAAATCATTAAGAATAACAACAGTATCAATTAGATATTCTGATTAACTCAGGAACATTTTTTTATTTGAAGAACATGTTAATAGTAGAATTTCGAGTTGTAGTGGGTTTAACTCCGCATATTTTCAAAACTATCAGAGGACTTAGTGAATTTTTCTATTTGTAGGTACATGTGATGAAGCTGAAAGTGTTCCAGGAGATAGTGCCTGCTCCGTTGCAAATTTGTTTTAAGGAAATGTACTGAACTATTTAGTGGTCTATATTCTGATGAACGACATAATCAGTAAACTTAATCTGATTTTACTAGAAGAAAGTGAAGAAATCAAAAGTTTGTCTTTTGTTAACAATGAAATGTTGTCAATGAACGTATGTTTACTTGTTTATCGACGAACATTCGAGATGTTTCGTGTCTAAATGAGAAGTGAAAAATATAGTGTATAGGAATACTACTTCGTTTGCGCTAATCTTTTGTCTAGTAAAATTTGTATTATTAAAAAAGATGATTAATCTGTCTAGATATTAGTCTAATGAAATGACATATCTTAGACTTAATATATAATGTACTACTGATTTTTTTCCGATTATTTATGATGGTTGAATTACTTTACATAGCTTTAAACAGTAAAAATAATTATTCAAACGATTGTAAAATATCATCTGATATATGTGAAAGAATTATTAACAACAGCAGCAGCAGAGTTTTAACTTCCAGAAATTCTTAATATATCTACAATTTTCTTTGCGTTTCAAAGTTCAGTATGATATTTGGAAAGATGATATATATTTTACATATAGGAGGAAATCGTCGTGAATGCTCATGGTGATCTAATGAATGTTCGTAGACATCTATTTAAGACTTGAGAAAAATTGAAGAAAATGATTCGATAGTTTTCTGACTTTGACTTGGAAAAACCAGGGATAAAAATACATAGAAGTAAATATCTTCTTCATGATAAGAATATCATTTATTAATTTTTTTACTACTTCAGTAACTACTCAATCTATGATCATTGTTATTGTCTTCTTCGTAGCTTCTTTTCTAAACCTGATATATATTTTTTGAAGAAAATAAGCCAGTAAAAGCTGTAAATGGAGGTTTTACATTCTTATTTTCCCATTATAGGAACGAGAACGACTAAGATCAATAAGTACGTTCACATGACAGCAACATTTTGATCATTCTAGAATTTTTGAGAATCTTCTAAAGTATTCAATAAGTTTTACCTTTCTATCGTAGATCCTCAATTATAGTGTAAATATTGGGGTTTCGCTATTAAATCTAGCAAAATGATCTTATTATAGATGTAAATGGGTACAGTGATTGCATTACTGATCTGTCACTGTGAATAGAATCAATACAAAAATTATGATCTGAGACAAGTTTTGAACTTATGAGATTAATTAATATGATTGATTCCAGATAAAATTGAGATACATAACAGGACGTTCAGATCTATTGTAAGGTCTAAATGACTATGTAAAATATAATTATTTGGCAGTTGAATCAACGATTGAAAAAATACATTGATAAGAAAATAAGAAAAGAGAAAACGAATCATAAACGAATAGCAATAGAATAAATAAAAACTATAGCGCCACTAAAACAAGTTTAAAAAAGTTTTGTTGTAAATGCAGAATTAAATAAGATATATTGTTTGTCTAATAAATGTCTATTGTTGAAGTACAGCTGTTGTTTGTTTGAGATAAATCACTTGACAGATTTTCTATTTGTACAATAAGACTGAATAAGATATATCAGATTCATATTTTAGTTCTATAGGAGCGACATGAACTTGTTTTTTTTGACGAATGGATCTGCAGGACAATATTTGCGTTATGCAGAACGGAATGAAAAAAAATATCATACAGAAATAAATAAACTATAAAATAAGTGAGGACCATCAGAGAGGTCGATAAAATGTGTATTGGCGAGTTTTAGGTCAAGAGATAGTCATGGCAAAAAACGTTTTATCGAATCCAGATCGCTTAGATGTGACATAAGCAATATATTCAGGTAAATTGTTCTTAACCTCATCAGAAGCTTATTGAATACCTTTAAAACCCTGTTGGTGTAATCCTTGTAGGCTTAAAGTTCGAACATGATGATGCGTTAAATATTGTGAATGAAGGAGTTTATGAACACATGTTTTGGTTTATAAATTCCTGTCTACTGTTGTTACTTTGTGGTAGTGATAAAAGAGGTTAATCTTAATATATTACAGTTAGTATGAAAGAAGGATAAAAGACATGCATCTTAAATACGATCGTGTTTCACAATAGCCAGCAGTAAACTTCAATTTTACAACCATGTTTATTATGATCTCTGACTAGCATCTGTTACGATCTGTGAGACCAGAGCCTGGGTCCAAACTTCTATCGTAATATATCAACACTCTTTTTAGATCGTGTTTTACAAAAATATTTTTGAAAATTTCGTTATCTATTCTAGTTAGTGCGTGTTGATTATAACACTACAAAAAGAAAACATCATTTAATCTTTCTTTTTGCTATCCTTTGTACATCTTATCAGTACCAGATTTTTTTGTTCATTTTATTTTTACTGGAAAACGTATGCTATGTTTATTAACATAATTTCCATGTAAAAAATTTTATAAGCTAAACAAATTAATGAGAAAAGATGTGTGGGTGTGGGTGTAGGTGAGGTTGGATGGATGTGGATGTGAATGTCGGCAAAAAGCAAAAATATACACACACACCAACATCCACTCATAATGGCTTCAAAGAAAATGTCATGTATTATTTTTGTCGGTAATATGACACAAACGACCATTTGTTTTGATACAAATGATCGATTTGTTTTTTGGCACAAATGACCACGTAGCTGTAACATATTTTCGATAATATAATTTTTATTCGTTAATATTGTCTTGTTTAAATAGCATAATATTTAATATTTATTATTTAGTTTATCTGTATCGAAATGGCACTAACTTAAATATCTGGAATATTTCTTAGTTTTATATATATGTCGTTATTTTATTGAATAAATTTAAATAATGAGGCAACGCCAGTTTTATTTTTAATATGAAAGAAAATGAAAATAATATTAACAACAAAAAAACGGAACGTTCGTATAGACAGAATATTGTAATACTTTGAAAAAAAATGTGAACCTATTTTTATATAGCATGTCACTCATCATCATAATAAATATGTTTAATGCATATATGAAAAGAACGACGATGTATTCAAACATCTTTTACCACAAATCAGAAGAGCAAAGCCAAGGATAAGAAGCTTCAAAAACTATGCATTGTAATTTGATCCTTTTAAAGTTTTACTAGTTGAATTATTGTAAAGTATTTTAAGTAAATTTGTCAGTTTAGTTGTCTTGTTATAGTGCATATAGAAAAAAGCCTTCAACTTCAATTTATAATGACAGATTTACGCTGCATTTTTCCAAACTCTACTTTTTATAAAATTGCGTTTAACAAAGCTAACGCATTTTTAAACTTTATTATTCACTTATCAAATATCAAGTTTTTAGAAAATACTTGATTTTATAAAAAGTAGAAATTCAATTTCATTTCCTGCCGAAAGTCGAAACGAATATTGATCAACTCTCATTCACATCTAAATATAGTCATATTCGCATGCAGATCGCGACAGTCTAGGGTCAAGTGAACCGATTTTCAATGAACATTACTTGTAGTAGAAAAGATTTAAGTATGGGAAGATAATTCCAAGTTTGCTCTTACAGAAACAATATGATTTTTAATTTAATATCTTATTTTTAGCCAGTATTTTTGATGATTTCGGTTGACAAATATGCATTTGTTATATAAAACGGAATTTGTTTTTCGTGTTTTCTCTGTTTATACATTTTTGATCGTCTGGCGAAGAATTCTCTACCGGCATCCATTCTAGATATTTAATTTTTCTTTTGTTTGAAAGAGCATGTTAGCATAGAGCGTACTACAGAGTCGCTTTTTTAAATTATGCTGAATTTTTGTTATATATGGAGACATAGACACGCATTTTTGGCGCGTTTTTGTGTCATTGAACTTGTGATTCCCTATCTCCGCTAATGAAATAAAAATTTAAAAAAAAACAACTCTGAGATGTCCTGCATTCAGAAATACTCTTTCAAATAAAAGCAAGAATTTGAATATATTGGCAGAGCCTGAAGCGAGAAATCTTGGAAGCAAAATGCGCTATTTTTTACCCGTATTTGACTCATATCTCTGTCAAACATCATGCTATAGAGCTGAAAATTTTACCATAGCGTCCTCACTACAACTTCAACATATCCTGAAAGTTTCAAGCCATTTCACTTAACTTGATGTGAAATTCGTTTTTTGAGGCGGGGTGGCCTCAATGAATATTGATCATGATAAACAGCTAGCTGGACAAAAACTTTTAGCAGACAATCGAATAGGATCGACTTCAATCATTCTACTGAAAAATGATTATGATGATTTTTATAAAAGAAAATGAGTTAATGGTAAATAAATCAAACAAATATTAATTACCATAAATATAAAACGAAAAATTGACTAGTCTCATATTAATGCAAACAATTTTGGAAAAGTTGAATATTGAAAGTACTATCTCAATAATATTAGAACGAAACCTTTTAATAATTTCTAACGAATAACAAGATAACTCCTTGAAAATGTTGTTAATAGTATCAAAAACAATATCACTTATAGTTTGTTTAATTGAGTTTAGAATTCATAGAATGAAGAAGATGTTATCATTGAATAGGATATTAATTGTAAGTTCTCATAGACGTTGTACTCTCACCCTTAAGAAATGTATTCTTTTCTTATTATAATGATTTGATTTAATTTTAATTCTGATACTATCATTTTTTTTTATTGAAAGAATTTCGAACAAAACATATTTATAATAAAGGAAAATACTTATGAAAAGTTTCTGGCCGAATAAATGGTTCATTTATATGGAGTTTTTTTACTTGAATACAATTGAAACATGTTGGATCAGTAATAAAATTGTTTGTCAACATTCTAAGTGATCGGAATGTGATGCAGAGATCTGACAAACAAGGTAAATGAGCATTTTCTTTCAAAAGAAATTGTTTAGCATAATGATAATATGAGTCATCCAAATTGAGAAAAATAAGATGAGGAAATATAATTAATGCCGACGAATTTTTCTTGTCTTTTTGTGGTATACCATTATATATAGTTAATTCTTCGACAATAGGAAAATAATGAGAGACGAGTATGAAAAACTGATGCTCGAAAGGACTTCCAATATCACTCATTGTTAAACGTCGAACTTTATCAAATATGCCATCTTGAAAGTGATAAGAATTATTGAGACCAAAAAAATGTTTGAATTGATATGGAAGTGAATAAATATGACAATGGCCCTTACAATGGTTCATGCTTTTCAATGGCTGAGTACAGACATATGAACCAACTTGACCATATTCTCTACCAGTAAAACTATTTTGAATATCTTCATTAGATGAAAAATGAATTTTAATCCGTTCCATGATAACTCCTGTATGTATACTGAAAGTAAATTTTTCTAATCGTGGCAAATAAATAAGAACATCGGTATGTAACTGAATACCATTAATATAATCTACATCAATTCGTGTGAGGAACAGAAATAATGTCAATGCTTCAAGATTTACCATTCGACGAAGTAATAAAACAATATGAGTCTCATATATATCTGCATGATTGTTCAAAGTTAATGAGAAATATTTCAACTTAGGAAGCTGTTTCTATAAAAAAAAAATAACATCAGCAATGTTTTTTCTCGAAAACATAATTATGAAAATTATATTTACTCGGCAATTTATATATGGTGGTGTATTTTCATATGGAACTTTCTTGACATTGATAATCAATTTTGTTAAAGAACCAAGACGACCATCAAGAAAATAAAGACAATCATAAAAAGTTTCAACATGAATTTTCAATTCAGTTAAGCTTGAGGACATAGAACTTATTTTTTCTATATAATAAATAGAAATACACGCTCTACGATGAGAAAACAAGTGACAAAAATTCAAATGGGTTAATCGCTTAGCTAAAGCTAAGATCAATATTAATATATTCGATGCAATTTCAGATAATTCCGATGTTGTCTTGTTTTGAATATCGATATTCAGATGTGTGATTTGATTAGTAAGAAGATCACGAAGAATTGAATGATCTTTAATGTAAAAATGAGAAAAAAAGATGAAATTTGTTGTAATCTTTCTTTAAAAGCCTGTTAATAATTACCTTTTAAATAATGAAAAAGTAGTTTTTCTTGAAAATTGACAAGTGATAATGAGTAAAGTTGAGGATAACTGGTAGTAAGAATAAGTTCCGTTGAATTTTGTTCAATAGTAAGTTTATTTACATGTGAATAAATCTGAGGTAAGATGTTTTCACATATTTTTGAAAGAATTTCATCGTCCATTGAAAATGAGTAATCAAAAAATGATTTCATTTTTATGACTGTCATATCAATATTATGAACACAAACTCGATCAAATAGCATTTGAGCAAATCGCGGGTCAACATCAATAAGAGAATACACACCACCGATATTCAACTTGCTAGCAATTACGAATAAAATTTCATAAGGCAAATCATTTATACTTAATCGATTGCTATTCAAGATGTTCATTTCGAACTCACATTCTGTTTATGTCAATTCAAAAAATAAAATATATATATATATAGGCGTCCGCATTTTTATATAGACGTCAGCGGGAAATAGTCAAGGTGAAACATTGATATGATACGACGAAATTAAAATGAATGGCCGATTGTGTTTTTCTTTTCTCTAACATTTCTCATCATTATGAGTAGTCTATTCGTCAGATTATTACTCTTTTGCCACAATGCTTATCGAGTAATGTTTATCAGTTTTATCGCATAATATCATGCTTAATATAAGGAGTCAAACACATTAGAAAAATGATTCATTTTAAATTTCATTTACAGTTAATCAATAGGTGTGCACACATAAGAGATAATGCTTTAATCAAAATTAAGAATGTACTATAAGGTGTACTGAAAATAAATGAAAATAATATACTTTTAAAGAATGGAAAAAATTTATTATCGTTTATTTCCTCGAAGCGGCTTTAGAAACTCACAGTTTATAAAAGATTTGAATAATCTGGCAGATTGTTTTATAATAATTTCCTTCGAAAAACATTCATCTATCTATCTACATCTATATATCATTTTATAATCAATTGATTGTATAATTTGTATTTTAAGAGTTAAGTCATCTTAAAAGGTTTGCCGCTTTAGACAGAGTATGATAATTAGACAAAAAAAACCATACTAGTAAATTGTTCAATCAATCATTGTTTTTTTTACTTATACCAAAAAAATATAATATATCATAAAAAAGCCTATGGATGCACTTGATCGAGTTTAAAACAAAATCTCGCATCAATGCATATTATATACAACAAAAAAGCCTAAGATGCACTTGATCGAATTTAAAACAAAATCTCGGATCAATGCATAATATGTACAACAACAAAAATCTATAGATGCACTTGATCGAGTTTAAAACAAAATCTCGCATCAATTCATACTAATTTATATAGCTAAGATCAGAATCACCTTCATATAACTGAATGATAAATGGTGTTACTATAACTTCTAGTTGTTGCTTGTGTGCCATAAATTCAACAACTTCAGCATTTTGATTATTTTCAAGCCATTGAATTTGTTTTTCAATGGCACTTTCAATTATTTTTTTACTATTATTTGAAATATTTTTTTCATTATTTAATACATTTTTTGATAGATATATGTATCTATAAGAGAAATTATATCATTTATTAATTTACCACCGGGAAACGAATAACTTACGATTTAAATTGATCTTTAGCGTTGGCAGATTCTTTAGTTTTTTTATCTTGGCTGGCAAATTTTTCTACTCGTTTCATCATATAATTAATTTTATCATCTGTTAAGCTACGTGCATATGAAACGAGCTTAATATTGCTATAATAGGTTGGTTCTGATTCATCTGCAGTTAGCTAAATAATAAAATGTTTTTTATCAAAAGAATAAACTAGACATTCAAAAATTTACTGTCAGAATACCATTAACATTAATGGAACAAGTGATTCCGACTGATGAAATCCCTTGAATACCAGTTACATCAAATTGGCCCAAAATATGAGTGTGACCTGATATTAAACTTTCACTTTCAAGAACTTTGAAAGTGATTACTCGTTGTTTGCAATAAGATTTTGTACAGATGTTATATACTTGGTGTGGTATTAATGTGTTACAAGGAACAATGGTTCTTTTTTCGCCACCATGAATTTCGTAACGGATTGTTAATGGATTAACATCTAGTAAAATTATATTTTTACTTTTTTTTGCACCTGATAAAAATCCTGCTTCAAGAGCAGCACCATAAACTAAAAAAAATATATATATATTAATTTCTTATATTTGAAATGGAATCGATCAATTTACCAGCAGCTTCATCTAAAGAACCATAACGGAATTTTGCTTTACCATGAAAAAAATCTTTAACTAATTGTTGAATTTTTGGAATATGAGTTGAGCCACCAACAAGAACAACTTCGCCAATTTTAAATTCCGAAAAGTTTTTTAATGCTTCTTCCACTAACTTTATTGTTAAATGGAACAAATCCATATTTAATTCTTCAAATTTAGTTCTTGTTAATGTTTCATTAAAATCTTCATTATCAAAGAATGATTGAATTTCAACATTAACTTGCTGTTGTGATGATAAAGTTCGTTTAGCTTTTTCAATTTCACATCGAAGTTTTTGAATAGCTTGATTATCGTGTGGAATATCTTTACCAGTTTTATTTTTAAATAATTGAATACAATATTCTATAAGACGTTCATCAAAATCTTTACCACCTAAGTTTGTATTTCCATTTGTTGCAATAACTTGAAAGACACCACGTTCATAATTTACTAATGTTACATCAAATGTACCACCACCCAAATGAAAGATTAAAATATTCTCTTCATTACTTATCTCATATAATCCAGAAATAAAAATAGCTGCAGCTGTTGGTTCATTGATTATACGAATAACATTTAAACCAGAAATTTTCGCGGCAAGTATTGTTGCTTGACGTTGCGCATCATTAAAATAAGCTGGAACAGTAATAATAGCATGGTTAATTTTCTCTGCAAGATAAGATTCCTATTAAAAACAGATATTGATTTATGAAAAACAATAACGATAAAGACTTGGCTTACAGCAGTTTCACGTATTTTACCAAGGATCATAGCAGAAATTTCTTCTGGTTCAAAATATTTTTGGTCTGATCCAACATTAATTTGTATTGTTGGTTTAGATTTACGATCAACAACAGTAAATGGAAAATGTTTGATATCAGATTGAACACTTGGATCTTTAAATTCACGACCAATTAAACGTTTAACATCAAATACTGTATTTTCAGGATTTGATGTTAATTGATGCTTAGCAGCATCACCAACTAATCGCGCACCTTCAGGTGTAAATGCGACATATGATGGTGTAAATCGATTACCATGTTCATTATCAATCATTTTCACTTCTCCATTTTTGAACACACCAGCACGAACATTTGTTGTTCCAAGATCAATGGCGATGACAGTGCCATAACCTATGTTTTTTTTATGTATTATCATTTACCCCAAATTGTGATCCTCAGATTAACTTTTAGATTTTACCCCACTTCACGTAGTTAATCAAAAAATATCAAAACAGGTAACCAATTGGGGATTTTCATTTGTGGATTATTGAGACGAAAATTGTCTTAGGTCAAAGCTAGATTTAATAATGATACGACGGTGAAATTGCGTTTCCTTGGAGTGAAAAATATTAAAACGTATATTTGAATAGATCTCATCTCGCACTATTTGTGCTTTCCCAACTCAGATTCTAAATTATTTTCGCATGTTCGCATACTTTAACGACTATAGACATTCTGGTGACTACGTGCGGAGTTTGTATATATTTTGCATTTACTTTGAAGTCTAGTCTTGTTTCATATCTTGCTATAGCATATAGATGTTCAGATGAAACCTTTAAATTTCTTCCTAACCATTTTTTTGAGAAGTTCAAAGCAACAGTTCTCGAAGATTTTTAATTGATTCGATACGATATTAGTTAGTATTTTGTGATCGATGTGGTGACCAGAATGAATTCTCACGCACCGATATTTGAGTTGAAGTATTTATGACATTAGCATAAAGTTTCTTCATCTTTATACTTGTCCTCTTACGAACTTATAATACATTTATACTGAGCATTTTTATAAGAAAAAAAATGTTATTTCTCTAGAATTGCATAAAAAATGATGAGATTTGTTAGTTTTGCTTAGACAAATAAATGTAAAAAACATGTTCATCTCTCTCCTAAAAAAATATACTTATACATTGCTCAAATTAATCAGCATCGTGTCTACAGATAGATGATAGCCGATATTACATTTTGCGTTTGAACATCGAGTCAAAATTTTGTAGTATAGGTGCCGCGTATCGATTTTTCTATGATCGATTGTATTTCTATATATTTCACTAGAGATGATCAAATTAGGAAGACGAAATAGCTGTAGTTATCGAATTAGGAAAGACTGTCTTAATCTGAGCATAGAAATACATTTAAAAAAAGAGTGAAAACAAAGACTAAAATTAAAAAAAATTGGCCAAAAGATAGAGAATGATCTTACGAATCTAATGATATCCTTTGTTTAACGAAACAAAAAACAATTCTGATCAAAAGACTTTTTTTCTGAACAGTAATATCGAATCCCATGTATTGCTCGAATGAGGACAAAATAATATGAGATAAGAACACATCAGGAAAGTAACAAAATAGGCAAGAGTGAAAACTACTGTTTTTCGTAATGACGATTACTCATCGAAGACTAATTAATTTTTGAGAAAAAAATTCATCAAAATGTAGAGCGTCGATCACTCTATTCCGGAAAAAAAGAGTGAGCTTGAACGGATGTCGCTGAGCAAAGTTATAAATCGTTTCCTAAAAATCACTGAAAACTGTAATCAACTTTGCTCGAGGTGCTCTACAGCAAAAACTTCCTATTTGATCACCAAAAAAATTTTTGTTGTCAAGTCTCTGAGAAATAAAGGACTGGCATAAGAATTTGTTTAAAAAATTGCGACTAAAAGAATATTACTGTCTATGTTTAACGCAATCGATCGAGTATTAAAGCAATGGAGCATTATATACAAACTTATTCCAGCATCGGAATATTGAAAATAATGCATTTTTAGTGAACTGCGTTACAGTATAACACTATTATTTACTGATTGTATATAAGTCATTGATTTTATCGTATTTATTCTATTACAATGACTCTTGTCTATAGCCATATGATTGGTGTAATCAATAGACGTCCTTCTCAGACTTATTACCAGGCTTCAGTAGTCTGGAAAAATAACTTTCTGATCGCCAGTATAGTTGTAAAAATCTTTTCGTGACCAACTTTCTTTCTTTGTGAAAGATTCATTACAGTGTCTAGTATTATAACAGAACAATTAACCGCAGTTTATTAAAAACGTTAAGAAACTATGTTCACTCTGATCGATTTGTAGAATCTGGTCACCCAGTTCTTTATAAAAACGCTTTTCAAGAGACTCAGTTCTCAAGCCGGTTCGTCTTAAAATATATGATCAAAGGACTCGGTATCCTTCTAAGTCTATGCGCATTTTGTGTCTAAAAATTTTCTAGCTGCTCACTAGAATCTATGATATTTTTTAAATATTTGCAATCATATACGTGATAAGAAAGTTGATTTAGGACATCATAGTTTAAATCAAACCCTAACCTACCGATGTTATATAGTAGGCGATAAAGAACAAGACTGATTTAAGATCTGTTGGACATATATATATATATATATGATATAAACATAGCAAAAAAATCCCCTGTTAAAAAATCCCCAAAATAAAAATACCCAATGGGTTACCAATTTGAATATTCTTTGATTATTTACCCCAAGTGGAAATAAAATTTAAAGATGAACCTGGGAACTACAAGTTGGGGTAAACGATAGTCAATCCTTTTTTTAATGATAATCTACCGGTATTATTAAACAAACTCTTACTTTTCCCCAATTTTTTGGCACTTTTTGCAAAATATAGTTTTGCTGCAATAAAATAACCGTTTTTTCGTGCTTTTTCTACACGTAATTGACTGATAAGATCTTGATTAGCTACATTAAGTGTGATGTCTTTAAGTGTACGTGTAGCTTGATCTAAATCATTTTTTGTTCTATTGATTATAATTTGTAGTTCGTTCAACTATAATAATTTCTTTAAAAACGGGTATAAATATTTAAAAATATATCTTACATTATAAACTACTAGTTTTAATTCACGTAAAAAAAGAACTAGCTCCATTTTTGGGATTTGGTTTTGGTCTACAAACAAAAACAATAGATAATTCAATGTATACATATATACATATTCGCAAACGAATGCCAGACAAAAAAAATACTCGAGTGTCTATGAGGAAAGAGAGTGAAGAGAGAAAATTCATTTTGTCATGTGCGATGCATCCGACATGATTTAGAAGAAAAAGGAAAATGTAAAAATGAATAAACCTTCAGTTGTATGTACTACTCAAGTATGTCCTAGTTTTTTTTTCTGAATAAATCGATAAGATATAAGATATTAATTATTTTTCACTAATTGATGAAAATTGGTTCTAAATAACTAACATTTTTGGTTTATGAGATTTTGACTATTACAATATTATTCTCGTATCTTTGGTAAATGAATATATTTTCCATTTTCATTTACACCTTAATCCATATCAATCAATACCAAGCTACAGAATTTCATAATTTTTCTTCGATTCATATATTCTTGTAAAAGAAAACAGATTTATATGTATTCGTTCTAAATAATGTCTTATATTCATACTATCAAAACTTTTATTACGAGTTATTTCAAACCTTCTATCAAGAATTTGTTGATGAATATTATACAGTGAGATATATTTCGATCAATTAGCAGCTAAAAAATAATTACCATCAAGAATATATGAAATACTTCGATTAGCTCTAGAAGAAAATTTCATCTTTTAATTTAAGATATTCTTCTTTATCAAACTTATCTTCTAAATATTAATTGTTTTTTTCTGCAACTTTATCTATATCTTTTCTTGTATAACATAAATTATGTTTAGTTTCAATTGATTCTGTCAGTTGATCAATTTCAGGATGAAAAAAGTATTCGAGCATTAATTACTGATATAACAATCTGTTCTTCATCAGAATATAAAACACAATATAAAGCTAAAGGTAAAAAATATTAAATAAATATTCTCAAAATATAATTTCGTTATGTCAAACCACCAATGGACAAAAGACATATTTTTCTTAAGCTTTAACTAACATATAAATTTCGTATTGGTGATGTCTTATCTCATTGACAAATCGTTAATATTGTTTGAGTAATACTTCCACTAAATGTTAATTTACTAATTGGACCTCATATGTATTAAGAATCTAAATAAAAAAGAGTTTTTCTTGTGCTTATATAAATATGAAGAGTTTACAAGGAGTAACTTTTCAGTTTTAATTAACGAAATAAATATATATAAAATATATGAAAACCACCGGTATACATAATTTCATCGACAATATCTAATGCAATATATGGAAATTGTACTGGTGTTGGAGATCTATATGTTCGAAAATTTCGTTAGGTTAAAGAAAAAATTCTTCATAAGATCCGAAGAAATTTATGGATATTCAGAATTGGATTAGACATTTGTACTATTGATTCTAATACAAATTCTATGTCATTCGTAGATTTTTGAAGCAAAAAAGTATAAGTTCGAATTTTTTATTTTGTTCTGCAGCTCAATGTTCATGTCTATGGCGGAGTCAAAACAACATATATCGGTCACGTCTGTGATGGAGTCAAAAGAACATGTGCCCGTCCCGCCTGTGATGTCCTGTCGATCACGTCTGAGGACGTGGGGGGAGGGGGTGAAAGTGGATGCAATTTTCTACCCTTTAACACTTCAACACTCGTTTTAGATCGAGTTTCACAAAAAGAAGAGTTCTTATTAGTTAATTTAATAGTGAAAGTATATCCTTTTGAAATGAAAAGATTTCTAATCAAATAAAAATTTGATTAATATTATTTTATATTATCAATATTATATAAAAGACGATGTAATGTGTGTTCATTTGTTTGAAAATAGTGATGAAAGAAAACAAATAGAGATAAACATTGAATATTATTATATATGCATGATTTTGAACGTCTAAGATTTTATGTTTCTCATTCAATTCGTAATTCTTTAATGAATCATATTTTACATTTACACTTATATACCATCAATATATTTTATTTCTATATAATCGTAAGCAATAATTTATATCAGATGTTCAATAAAAAGAAAACTTTCAATCATAAAATAGTGCATTTCAAGCGAATAAAGAAAATAATCTTATTGATGAATTTTATTGGATTATATAACATCTCTTTTCAATTGAGTACTATCTGATAAACAAACTATTTTATTTTTCATTTAATTTGAATCGAGGGTTGTCAAATCAAAATTTTAGAAAACAGGAGTTTAAAAAAAGCAGGAGTTTTCCAGGAGAATTTTTCTCTTGAATCAGTAGCAAAATCTGGAGACTTTCTAT